GATGTCTTTGAACACATTTAGCACATGTATGCTTATGTATGTAGCTAGCTCATAATTCAAAGTATTGTGATGGTTTTTTAGATATTTAACTTAATGGAGGGAAGCCTCACTCTCTCTTTAGTCAGTTGCTTTGTGGGTGTTTTTTCTAATTTAAACCATTTTTTTTTTTTTTGTCGTTGTTGTTGTTTTGTTTTTTTAAGTCCTTTTGAGACAGGGTTTCCCTGTAGCCCCTGCTGGCCTGGAACGCGCTATGTAGACCACAAACCCACAGAGATCCCCCTGCCTCTGCCTCCTGAGTGCTGGGACTAAAGGTGTGTGCCACTATGCCTGGCTTCTAATTTATACTTTTAAGTGCACATTTGTGTTTGGAGTTTGTGGTACAGGTGCACTCAGAAGCAAAAAAAAAAAAAGGGTGTAAGATTCCCTGGGAACCAAGCTCAGGTCCTCTCCAAGATCAGTACAGCACTCCAGGAGGCAGAGGCAGAGGCAGGTAGATCTCTGTGAGTTTCAGGCGAGCCTAGTCTACATTGTGAGTTGCAGGCATAAAAATTTTGCAAAGCATGGGGACATATGCCTTTAATCCCAGCACTAAGGACGCAGGAGCAAGGCTCTCTGTTAGTTCAAGACCAGCATGGTCAATGTAGAGAATTTCAGGCCAACCAGGGCTGCACAGGAAGACCTGTCTTAAAAACAACAAACAAAAATCAGAGCAGTACACATTTTTAATCAATGAACCATTTCTCCAGCCCCACTCTCTGGGTGTTTTGATTCAGTTTGTAGGAGGGCTTCAGAGTCAACATCAGTCAACCCAGAAGAGGGCACCATTACCCAAGAAATATTGGGAATCCACTTGAGCTGGCGAAGCTGCTTCTAAGGTTTCAGAAATGCTATGTGAGAGGCTGAAGTTTGTCCATGGCACCCCATTCTTAGATCTTCCTCACCCCTGGTAGGTAATGAGCTCTCATTCTTCCCTACAAGCTCCCCATGAAGGTATATCTTCAGATAAGCTCTCAGAACGCAGTTGTCTTATTTGCACAAGCTCTCTCCATTGTTTTCCCCAATGGATCTGACATTTTGAAATACTGTGTTTGGTAAATTGCATTTAGTAAGAAGATTCATTATTTATGAATAAGATGAATACGCAGCTTGACAGTACCACACCAGCATGAGATTATATTACTGATCTGATTTAATTTCAACCACTGACAGTTTTTAAAAAAGATTAAAGCTGGTCATGGTGGCACATACCTTTAGTGCCAGCCCTTGGGAGGTAGAGGCAGGCAGATCTCTGTGAGTTGTAGGCCAGCTTGGTCTACATAGTAAGTTCCAGGCCAGCTGAGGCTACAAGGAGACCCTGTCTCAAAAAGACCAAAAAAAAAAAAAAAAAAAGTGCATGTGTGATGTGGGGTGTGTACATTCCATGAAATGCATGTAGAGGTCAGAGGAGAGCATTGTAGAGTCCGATTTCCTATCTTTAAAAAATTATTTTAATTATGTTTGTATCTATATATGTGCACGAGTATAGATGCTCACAGAGGCTACAGGAGGGGTGTTGGAAACCTTGGAGCTGGAATTACAGGCAGTTGTGAGCTGCCCAATGTGGATGCTGGGACCCAAACTAAGGCAGTACACAATCTTAACCACTGAGCCCTTGCTCCTTCTAGGGATGGAAACTCAGGACCTCAGGCTTACACAGCAAGCTTTATAACTAAACCATCTCATTGATGTTTTAGTTTTAAAAAGAATGAAGCAAAAGAATTATGTAATTTCTGTACAAAATTTTGAACTATGGAAAATAGCTATCAGAAAACTCAGTTTGAGGATTTCTAGTCTGAAATCTCAGATGAGTGAGAATGAACAGTACCTGACATTGTGTGAATGTCTACCCAGGCTGCCCCACCTTTTGGTGTCTCTGGGAACACACTGGATGAAAACTCATCTTAGGCAACACATAAAATAACCAAATACTAGGGCCTGGAGAGATGGCTCAGCAGTTAAGAACACTGGCTGTTCTTGCAGAAGACCCGGGTTCGAATCCCAGAACCCACATGACAGTTAACAACTGTCCTTCACTCGTTCCAGGGGATCTGACAGCCTCTGCTGTCCTCCGAGGGCATTGCACAACATGGGTGCACTTACCTACATGCAGGCAATACATGCATACACATAAAAATAAATAAAATATTTTTTTAAAAAATAGACAAACACTAATGAAAGCTGATGGGTAAGAACAAAAGGTCTGTGTATACTTTTCATATCCATCACCAAAGATAAGGAAAAAAGTTCTTACATAATCTAACTATACAGTACTCAATTCAAAGTCTTAAAGTCGTTGAGCAGGTCCCATGTTTGCACTAATGTAATAAGAAAGTGAACAAGCCAGGCATGGTGGTGCACACATTTAATCCCAACACTGAGGAGGTAGAGGCAAGCGGATCTCTATGAGTTCAAGTCCAGCCTGATTGATATCTGGTTCAGTGGGAGTTGTTGCAATTCTCAGTAGGTTCTCAAGGTGTTTATCAGATATTTTGGATCTAATTTTATTCTTACTGCGCTTCATTCTTAAAAATAGTTGCTCAAAGCTGGGCGTGGTAGCACACGCCTGTAGTCCCAGCACTTGGGAGGCAGAGGCAGGCGGATCTCTGTGAGTTCAAGGCCAGCCTGGTCTACATAGTGAGTTCTAGGACAGCTGGGGCTACAGGGAGACCCTGCTTCAAAAAGACAAAAAAAAAAAAAAAAAAAAAAAAAAAGCCCCCGGGATAGTGGTGATTCGTTTAGTCCCAGCACTTGGGAGACAGAGGCAGGTAGATCTCTGTTTGAGGCCAGTGTGGTTTATATAGTGAGTTCCAGGCCAGGTGGGGCTACATGGAAACTGTCTCAAAAACGAAACAAAAAAAGTAACTGGCTGGGGCTGGAGAGATGGGTATGGTTTCCATGACCCACATGGTGGCTGTCCTAGTCTGATTCTTCATTACTGTGACAAAATACTCTGACCAATACCAGCTTGGGGAGGAAATTTAGCTTAAATCTCCCCGGTCACAATTCATCAGGGATCCTAAGGTAGGAACTCAGGGTAGGAACCCAGAGGCAGGAGCTGGAGCACAGGCCATGGGAGGAATGCTGCTTACTGGCTTACTCCCCTGTCCTCCGCTCAGCCTGCTTTTTATGCAACACAGGCCCACCTGCCCAGGGGTGGCACCACCCACAGTGGGCTGGGCCCTCCCACATCACTCAACAATCAAGAAGGTGCTCCATGGACATGGCCACAGGCCAGTCCAATGAAGAAAATTCCCCAATTGAGGCTCCCTCAACTCAGGTGTGTCAAGTTGACACTAAAGCTATCCAGCACAGTGGCTAGCATCTGACCTTAACTTGAAATCTGTTTTAAAGTCTTGCATCATACAAAGCAAGACTATGCATTTTTCACTGTTCACAACACCATGTTTAGCCAACATGTCAAAATGCATGAAATTGTTTGCCTTGATTTGAGCTTACCATAACTTCAGTTTCATTTGGAACGCTGTTATGATTTGAAACATTGCATTGATAAGTTAGTTTTAACCATACGATAAATGTTTAACTCATTTAAATGAGTGGTTAAATCTACTAAAATGCTAATTTTGTAAGGCAATTTCCATCAAGTTCTGACACAGATTTTGTATCTGTGTGTGCGTGTGTGCCCCACACACATCAGGACAGAAGATAATTTGTAGGAACAGATTCTCTCCTTCCACCATATGGGTCCTAGGGATAGAACTCAAGGCCTCAGGCCTGGTAGCAAGTGCTTTTACCTGCTGATGAAAATGAAAACATACAGTAAATGTAAGCTTTCGGTGGCAATTGCACCACATTCTATTTTACAAGTCTGTGTCTTTTACCTACCATCACCGGGCACCATCAGTAACTATACTGGGTATATTGATATTGGACAAAGAAAATTGCTTGAACAGGTTTTTTTTCTGTTTTGTATAAATCTACTTAGTTGTATCTTTTACTGGCTCTAAAGAAGCCATTTCATCCATAAAATTATCAATACATCTAAGAAAAATAGCAAGTTGAGTCATTTGTTCCATCAGTGCTGACATCCATGCCAAATCATAAGATTTGAAATGAGCCCTTCAACTTACTTTCTTTTATTAGTAAATGATTTTGATTTCATTGCTATTAAATATGTTAGCATGTAACTAGTTTTTACAAGAGAATATGTTGTAACAATTTTTTGTTGTTGTTGAGATACTTTTTTCAGTTCCACTACTTTGTCTTACAACACAGTCCAAATTTGGCAACATGTCTTTGCATATAATACCTTCACAAATTATAGTCTTTAGCCAGGCAAGGCAGACAGGTGGATTTCTGTGAGATCGAGACCAGCCTGGTCTACCAAGTGAATTCCAGGCCAGCTGGGGCTACAGGGAAACCCTGTCTCAAAAAAACAAACACAAAAACAAAATCAAATGATAATCTCGGAAAATTTGCACAAATTCTCTACAAATTAAGCAGAATGTCTATTTGCCTCAACAAAAAAGTAATAATTTGTTCATTTGTTGTTTTTGCTGAACAATCTACCTTCATTTTTCTTTTGAGTTCTTTTTTTTAATTGGACGTGAAATAATTAGTGAACATGATTGGTGGGCTTGGGGTTCCCTACAGCATGAGTCCTTGGGAGTGCAGGGCCCAGCACTTGTCCAGGAGACGGTTGGGATATATTTGAACTGCAGCCATCGGGGATAAGTCGCTTCTCTGATGCCAGGTCTTCAGATTCACCTGCATTAAACTTGGTGAAGCCTCACTTCCTTCAGATGTGGTGGCCAAGGAACTTGAACTTGGCCCCGTGCAGATCCTTAATCACATATTCCTTATTCTGCAGTTTGGTGTCAACTGATATGATGATGTAGTCAGTGTGAACCCTAGCCACTGTGCCCCAAGGCTTCCCAAAGGAACCCACATACATATCTGGACTGGGGACAGCATGAGATTAGAGACATGAATAGATGTCAGAAAACTGTCTTCAAGGTCCCTTAGGGCCACTGATACATGCAACAGGCTGCATACACTACCAAGGAGGCTGCTGCTTGCAGCCACTGCACTCCAGACCCCAGGAGGAAAAGAACCTGCTCAGTCTGTTTTCTTTTGCCATACTATAGAAGCCATGCTGGCTTTAAAAACTATCCCTTTTCCTGGGTAGCAGCTTGGAGGCCGCATGATGCCTGAAGTTATGTAAAAGATGTAAACCAGCAGGAGTCTATCAGAGCTCTGGCAGCCTTTCTCAAAAAGGCCAGGAAGCTGAAAGTCTTGGAATGGGTGGACACAGTCAAATTGGCCAAACATAAAGAGCTTGCACCCTATGATAACTGGTTCTACATATGAGCTGCTTCGGGGCAGTGCTGGGGTTGGCTCTATGACCAAGATTTACGGTGTGTGCTGGATAGCTTTAGTGTCAACTTGACACACCTGGGTTGAGGGAGCCTCAATTGGGGAACTGCTTTCATTGGACTGGCCTGTGGCCATATCTGTGAGGCATCTTCTTGATTGTTGAGCGATGTGGGAGGGCCCAGCCCACTGTGGGTGGTGCCACCCCTGGGCAGGTGGGCCTGTGTTGCATAAGAAAGCAGGCTGAGCAGAGGCCAGAGGAGCAAGCCAGTAAGCAAAGTTCCTCCATGACCTGTACTTCAGCTCCTGCCTCCAGGTTACTGCCCTGAGTTCCTACATTCAGCTCCCTGATGAACTGTGACCTGGGAGGTGTAAGATAACATAAACCCTTTCCTCCCCATGTTGGTGTTGGTCAGAGTATTTTATCACAGCAACGGAGAAACAAACTAAGACATAGTTTCCTTACTTGTCCTGTCTGTTTCGTGTTCTATGTGCTTTTTGTACCTGTAAGGGTTTGTCTTTCCTTAATTTATGGAAATTTTCTTCTATAAGTGATGATCAATGCAACCTGGGACATGTAAGCTGAATAAACCCCTTCCTCCCCAAGCTGGTATTGGTCAGAGTATTTTGTCACAGCAATGAAGAAACAAACTAGGACATGGTGGATGTCAGAGAAATGGTATCAGACCCTGTCACTTCAGCAGAGGCTCCAAGACTGTGGCCCACTGGGTCCTCCAAGCCTTGGAGGGATTGAAAATGGTGGAAAAGGACCAAGATGGTCCCTAACACCTCAGGGACAGAGAGATCGGGACAGAATCATGGGACAGGTGGCAGGCAGCTGCCAACAAGAAGCATTAGAACAAAGGATGCTGGGTTAATAAATTGTCTCATTCGTAAAAATAATAATAATAATAATAATAATGATAATAAAAGCTAGGTGTGATGGTGTTCACCTTTAATCCTAGCACTCCAGAGTCACAGGCAGACAGATCTCTGAGATCAAGGCCAAACTGGTCTACACAGCAAATTTCAGGCCAGCTGGGGCTACAGGGAAAACCCTGTCTGAAAAAAAAAACAAAAAGAACTGGAGAGATGCTCAGCATTTAAGAGCACTGGCTGCTTTTGCAGAGGACCCAGGTTTGGTTCCCAGTGCTCACATGGCAGCTAATAACTCTGTAACTGCAGTTCCAGAAGATCCAATGCCCTCTTCTGACCTCTGTGGGCATTGCATGACATGGGTAAACTTATATGCAGGCAATACACTCAAATACATAAAATAAAAAATAAAAAACAAAAAAAAAAACCATATCACTGGAGGGGCTGGGAGAGATGGTAAGATAGCTTCGGTTTCCAGCACCCACATGGTGGCTAACACCTGTCGTTAACTCCATTTCCAGGGGATCTGATGCACTCTTCTGGCCTCCGCAGACACCAAATAAGTCACTGGTAATGAGTTAGGATTATATGTATTTGAGAAACTAATGAAGGAAATGTAAAGTTAATGACATTTAACTAGAAAAGGATAAATATGTATTTTTATTGCAAATAGTCTATAACAAATTTCTAGTAAAATATACTAAAAACTTCTTTAAAATAATAAAAAGGGAAAAAAGCCCATAATTAGAATATGTTACACAATGGGGTTAATAACATATATTGTTGATTTTTGAGAAATCTTATATTCACTTTTAAAAAGAGATTTATAGTAATGCCATATTCTCTCTCTTTTCACACACACACATACACACACACACACACACACACACACACACACACACACACTACATTCACGAAAAAGTTCCCCAAAGAAAATTTGAAGCCTGATGTAGTGGCTCATGCCTTTAATCCCAGAACTCAAGAGGCTAAGGCAGGCAGAATGCCATGCATCCCAGGCCAGCCTGAGCCACAGTGTAAGACCCCTTCCATTTCAGAAAAAAAAAAATTTTAATTAGACATTTATAACTGGAGTTATCTGGAGCAAGGACTTAGATGTTTGACTGTTCTTTGTGCCTTCAAAGTTCTGCAGAAAAATTTGTCTTCTTTTAAGTCCATCCAAAATGGCTGTGTTATTAGAAGCCAGGCTCTGTGTCCTAAAGAAATAAAAAAATGACAGAATTATTGTCTTCAAAAGAAACCTGGAATACTACTGAAGGCACATCTTATTACTCTGAAGCAATATTAGCATTAAAACATACTCATACAATCTGTTAACCTTTAAAAATCTAGTGTGCTTTTTACATGTGAAAAGTCACACAATTATTTGACAGGTACTTTGAAAAAAGGTTGTTTTCTGAACATCTGCTCTCAGACCTAATAGCAAGTATATTCTAGTCAGAAAGAATTAGCTCCCTGAAAAAAAATATCATCTTTACATTTGAAGTGACCAATATCTATATCTTATATAATTATTTTTGAGAACTCACAGGGAAGGGAAAAGCCAATGATTATGCTTTTCCAATCAACAGTGTTCTTGTCCAAGGAGCTAGAAGCTGTGTTCCTTATCCACCTATGTCTTGCACATGTCAGCACATTGATGAAACATGCTCTCTACCACTAAGCTACACCCTCGGCTGCACTGTCAATTTGGTTGTCACTTTGTTTTGTGGTACTGTGGATCCCATTACCTCATGTAGGCTAGGCATGTGCTCTACCATTAAGTGCCTCCCTAATACACCTGTCATTTTTAATTGCACATATCTTTGACATCTATGAAGAATGCATGCTTTGCTCATAACTTCAACTTGTCTCCTAATTTTGTTTGTAGGTCTTCTCAAATAAGCTAAACTGAAAACTTCCTGGAGGGATCAAATATATGTCCTGTCCCTCCCTGTTTCCTCAACCCTAACTATAAGAACTATGACACAGAGTTGACTTTCAAATGTTAATTTTTCTTCTCCTAAATGCCTTTAATAATTATAAGCCTCTTAAAAAAGCCATATTATAAGCAATTTGAAAAATAAATTTGGGGCTGGAGAGAGTTCAGCAGTTTAGAGTGCATACTGCTCACAACTTTAATCCCAGGACTCAGGAGGCAGAGGTAGGTGGATCTCTGAGTTCAAGGCCAACCTGCTGTAGTTCCAGGCCAGCTGGGGCTACAGAGAGACCCTGTCTCAAAAAGACCAAAAAAAAAAAAAAAAAAAGTACTGCTCTTGAAGAAGACCTGAGTTTGATTCCCAGCACCCATATCAGGCAGGTCACACCATCTGTAACTCCAGCTTTAGGGGAATCCAACACCTCTGGTATCTGAGGGTACCTGCACTCATGTGCAGATACCTATACACAGACACAGACACACACACACAATTTAAAACCTTGGGTGGGGGGGGGGGCGTAAAAAAAAAAAACTTGGGCCAGCAAGATGGCTCAGCAGGTGAAAATGCTTGCGGTACAATCGCCAATCCCTGGAACTCACATAAAAAGCCAGAGGCAGTGGCTCATGCTTATAAACTCAGGACTGAGGATACTTTCCTGTATTAGTTGTCTTGTTGCTGTGACAAAGTATCCTGAATAAAGCAACTTGAAGGAGAAAGTTTATTTTGGTTCAGAGATCAAAGGTACAGTCCATCATGGCGAGGAAGCATGGAGGCAGGAGCCCAAGGAAGATGGTCACATTGCATCCACAGCAAGCAGAGGCAAGTGCTGCTATTCAGCTCACTTTCTCCTCTTTATTCAGTCCTAGACCTCAGCCCATGGAATGACGCTGCCCATATTTAAGATGGGTTTTCCTACCTCAGTTAGCCTAATCTAGATAATCCCTCATAGGGATGCTTGGAGGCTTTCCTCAAAAGTGATTCTAGATCCTGTCAAGTTGACAGTATTAACCATCACTCCGAGGTAGGAGGATCTGCAGTTCAAGGCCAACTTAGCTACAAAGGAAGACCCTGTCTCAAAAATCTAAACAAGAGGCTGGATCTATGCCTCAGTGGTTACGAGTGTGTACTCTTCTTCCAGAGGACCCAATTTCAGTTCCAGCACCCATGTTAGGTGGCTTACAGCTGCCTGTAACTCCAGCTCCAAGGGATCCAACCTCCTCTTCTGGCCTCCATGGACATCTGCACTAATGTGCATGTGCACACACACACACACACACCCACACACACACACCCACACACACACAAAAAAAAAAAAGAAAGAAAAAAGAAAAAATGGGCTGGAGAGATGGCTCAGCGGTTAAGAGCACTGACTGCTCTTGCAGAGGACCCAGGTTCGATTCCCAGCACCCATATGGCGGCTATGAACCATCCTTAACTCCAGTTCCAGGGGAATCTGAAGCCCTTTTCTGACCTCCTCGGCACTGCATGACACGGGTGCACTCGGTGCAGGCAATACACTCATACACATAAAATAAAAATAATAAATATTTTAAATCAAAAAAAAGAAAAAAACTGAAAAAATCTAGACCCCTCTCAAGAAATCAGGAGGGTAAGGCAGGGAGATCACAAGTTGGAGGCTAGCCTAGGCTATATAGACACTGCCTCAAAAACAAAAAACAGGCTGGAGAGATGACTCAGTGGTAAGAGCTCCTGCTGCTATTGGAGAGGACCAGAGTTTGGTTCCGAGCACCCCATACTGCGCAGCTCACAATCACCTGTAATTCCACTTCCAGGAGATCTGAAGCCCTCTTCTGACCTCCACCAACACCTGCACACTTTGTCTACACACATAAGTAGAAGTTGTTTTTGTTTTTTTTTTTTTTGTCTTTTTGAGACAGGGTCTCCCTGTAGCCCCAGCTGTCCTGGAACTCACTATGTAGACCAGGCTGGCCTTGAACTCACAGAGATCCACCTGCCTCTGCCTCCCGGGTGCTGGGATTAAAGGCATGCGCCACCACGCCCAGCCCCATACATATAAGTTTTTAAAAAGAATTTAAAGTTTTTGACCAGTAAAAGTTGGTTCCTGTTAAAAATGAACTCTATCCCATATGCAATGTCATTGCAACTTTATATAATTTATTCCCTAAACTATTTGTAATAGTTTATTCAGGAGTCTCTCACTAGCAGCATACCCTTGAATTTAAAAACTCCTTTGGGAGAGTAGATAAGCAAACACATTCGTGTGCACCTACCGTGGAGAATCAATTCCACTATCCCCTGCCATGCTATGATTCTCTGTTCCTTCCAGGAGACTGTGTTCACGCTGGAGTTCCTGAGCCAACACTGGCATATGTGAAGTGTTGAAAAGTTCCATTTTGTTGATGAAATGCTTTCTCATTTCCTGATTTGGAGGGCTCTCTCTCCAGGTAATTGATTTCTTTCCTGGGTCACCAACAGAGTCTTGTAGGAGTTCAGCCTCAGAATTGGTTTTCTTTTCACTGAAGGAGTCACATAAACTTCCACCAGCAGGTGCTGAGGACTGGACACATTTAGCAACACTGGCCTCTCCTGCATAGTTAAAATCGTATGTGGTCTCTGGGTTTAGGTAACAGCTTTTAGTAGAAAGATTAGGGTTCGGGCCTTTACCTGGATTTGCAAACAACCCAGCAGGTTTGTAACAGTGATTTCTTGTAAGCACCTGAGGCCCAAATCTATCAGCTTTGCTGTTATACTCACTCAGAGATATCTCAGTCATGTCTGTTTCTCCCAAATGGTTCCACTTGTCTCCACCCACAAAGGAAAATTGAGTGTGTCCAGGCAGCATTTGACAAAAGCCATCATTCTCAGAAAGGTCGTCATCCTCCAGATACAATGAACTGCAGGCCCTGTCATCATCCATGTCAATCTGATACAAGGCCAGCTTGTCTTGCCCATCATCAGAAAGCCCTTCATTTTCCAGATTCACAGCCTCTGCCTCTGGAGCAAATGATTTTCTAATTAGTTCTTCTGAGTTGCTTTCTCGACTCTCGGGTGGTCTCAAATGGTTCATACGAACCGGGTAATCCAAGAGGCCAAGGTTTTGGAACTGGTGCATTGTCTTATCAACTAATCTGTAAGCAGAGGATGCTGGGTCTAAAGAGGGGGAACCTTGTGAGGGGAGGATCTGCTGTGTTTCTTTGGTCTCCACTAACCTGTCAAAGTGAGGATGACGTTTCCTCAAGACTTCAGGGATGGCGTTGTCAGCCTCATCATACACATCATATCTCAACATGCTTTCCCTGAAGGAACAGCCCTGAGTGCCACTTGGCAAGACACTACATGGAGGGTAATTTACATGGCCATCTCTGATGTTGTCACTGACATGATGGACACGAGAGTTCTTTACATACATGGATTCTGCTTTCAGTTTATCATGGCATTGTTCAGCATATTGCTGTTGGGCATTACCATCAAAGACTCTTGAGGGATCTGAAGACCTTGACCTTTGGAAAGGCTTTTCCTCTGACCTAGTATGACTAGGTTTCAGATCCCAGGTCTTCTGAACATTGTACTCTTTGGATACTGGGTTCCCTCGGAGAGACAAGCCCTGGAAAGGATTACTGATTCTCTTTTTATAAATCAAGTGGGAGCCTAGCATAGCTGGATTCTCAACAGACAGCTGCTGAGTTTCTCCTTCATTGGGGCTTTTGAATCTGGGAGCAAGCTGGGCTATAAGAGCCTTGGGTTGCTTTTCTAGGCCAACGCTTCCTGGCCGATGCTCACTCATCCGACTCTGTGCTCTATGTCTGTCCCTATGGGAATGGCCCCGCCTGCAAGTCTTGGCAGACCGGCCCTGCCTTTTCTTAACTCCCTCTTTGGAAGGGTACTTACGCCTGGGCCTGGCTGTCAGTACAACTGTGGACGTGCCCTGGCTATTGTATTTTTTCTGCTCTTCACATTTTTGCATTAGCACAGTGTGTTTGATTAAGTTGTCAACAGTCAGCACAGGGTTAATTCTTTTGATTATTTCATGTTCAACATCTCGGGGGATGTTGTCCAAGTTGTCTTCATCCCGGACAGGCCACTCTTCAGGTGGGAACTGTGCAGAGAAGCTGCGGTGCTCTATTTTGGCCTTCTCTTTTCGGGATATACTGCGCCACAAGAAACTAAAACCAAACTTTCTGCCTTTTTCTTTGTCTTTGGTGTATGGTAACGGTTTGGGGCTTGCACTGATGTGAGTGTCTTCAGATGCTGAAACTGCCTGATTCTGAGACAAAGGTGTAGGTTCCCCAAGACTTTTCTGGCCTTTCCTAGTCACTTCTGCAGTAGTTGGTGGGTCCTCAATGTCCTGTGTGCTCGTGTCAGGGAAACACTGGCATGATGGACAGTGGGAAACTGGGGTGATATCCTCCCGGGCCAGCTCTGCACAGCTCTCCACACTCACTAGATAGGTCACAGAAGTGGACACCAGGCCACCTTCTTCTGACAGGAGGGCTCTCTTATTTTCAGGCGTGTGTGTATCTGTGATGAAGTAAGTCTGGGGTGTAACTATGAAGTAGCCCTCTCCAGTGTGATAAATCTTCCTCTCTTTAATCAGAGTTCCCAAAGTGGTATAGAGAATGTCTTGAGATGGAATTGCAATACCTAAAACACACAATACCTAAAACAATTACTTAAGTACGACAGATTGTGAAAAAGACACATCTTAAGGAGTGAAATCAGAAATTCAGAAATGACTGTATATTTGTTTGAAGAACTCAGAGCTGATTATATGTAATGTAATTAAAATACTAGTTAGTAGCTGGGCATGGTGGTACATGCCTGTAGTCCCAGCACTTGGGAGGTAGAGGCAGGCAGATTTCTGTGAGTTCAAGTCCAGCTTGGTCTACATAATGAGTTCCGGGCCAGCTGGGGCTACAGGGAGACCCTGTCTCAAAAAGACCACCCCCCCCAAAAAAATGCTAGTTGGTAAGATGGCTCAGCAGATAGAGGTACGTTTATGTAGACCTGACAACCTGAGTTTGAGACCCCCTATCCTACAAAGTGGAAGGAGAGCCTCTTTATAATTTCCTGTGTACTTGCCTATATACAGACACACACAAACTTTTTTAAGTGCCAAAGAACTGAGTGTGGAGGAGCCTCACCACAAATTTAAGGCCATTCTGGGCTATATAGCGAGATCCAAGCCAGCTTGAAGTATAGTAAGACTCTGTCTCAAAAGAGAAAAGGGAAGGAAGGGGGAGGGGGAAGAGGGAAGGAAGGGGAAGGAGGAAAAAGGAAAGGAAAAGAAAAGAAAAGAAAAAAGACGAAAAAGCTGGTTGTAGTGGTGCAGGCCTTTGATCCCAGCACTTGGGAAGCAGAGGCAGGTGGACCTCTGTGAGACTGAGGCCAGCCTGGTCTACATAGTGAGTTCCAGGCCAGCTATGGCTACAGGGAGACCCTGTCTCAAAAACAAAACAACAACCAAGAAAAAAAAGAAGAAAAGAAAAAAAAGAAAATTGGAGGAGAGAGATAGCTTAGCAGCTAAGGGCACTGGTTATTCTTGAAGAGGACCTGGGTTTGGTTTCCAGCATCCACATGGTGGCTAACTCCAGTTCCAAGGGACACAACACCCTCTTCTGACCTCCTCAGGCATTGCACAACAGGGGTGCACTTACATACATGGAGGCATAACACACACACATAAAATAAGAAAAAAAAAGATGTGTAATTAAATTACAAAATGCAATATAATTTGGTCTCCATAAAGGTATATATGACTTGGCTAATGGTTAAGTACAGGAGAAAAAAAACCCGTGAATTTCAATGGATATAAATCTATTTAAAATTTAAGGACTGGGGATATGTCTCAGTGGTAAAGCACTTGCCTAGCAGGCATGAAACCCTGGATTTGATCCCCAGCACTGTGAAAAAAATAAATGAAATTATACTTTAAGAAAGCACTCTTGATGCATAAATAATTTTTTTAAAAACTACGGTCTTGCCGGGCGTGGTGGTGCATACTTTTAATCCCAGCACTCGGGAGGCAGAGGCAGGCAGATCTCTGTGAGTTCAAGGCCAGCCTGGTTTACATAGTGAGTTCCAGGACAGCTGGAGCTACAGGGAGACCCTGTCTCAAAAAGACCAAAAAAATAAAAATAAAAACTACAGTCTCAAGCCAGGCATAGTGGCCCAACCAAGCCTTTAATCTCAGTACTTAAGAGCTAGAGGAAGGTGGCTTTCTGTAAGGCCAGCCTGGTCTACATAGTAAGTTCCAGGCCATCTGTGGCTACAAGAAGACCCTGTCTCAAAAAGACAAAAGAAACAAAAAAAACACCCACTACAGTCTCATGATTTGTATTTTTTAAAAAAGTGTTTAATTTTATGTGTATCAGTGTTTTGTCTGCATGCACGTATATTGCACCATGTGCATATAATGCCTGTAAGAGTGTCAGTGGTTAGCCACCATGTAGGTTCTAGGAAGAACAGCCAGTACTCTTAACCACTGAGGCATCTCTCCAGTCCCCTTTAGAGAAAGAAGGGTATAGAGAGAATGTATAGAATGACACCATTTGTGTCATAAAGGTTTAAATGTATACATGGGATACAATTTATGAAAGCATGTATAAGAACTACAAACAATAGCAGTTGCCAGCCTGGGAAGCTGGCATGGAAATGGGAGGTAGGGAACCATTTTCCTTTCCACTCCTTTCTACAGAGTCTAATTAATAACACATGCATTTACTTCTGAAAAAAGTCATCAGGAAAGTAAAATAAATAAAATGTTGGTGCAGGGCTGATGAAATGGTTCATCAGTGGATGAATGCACCTGTTGCCAAGCAAAAGGGCCTGAGTTAGAGTCTCAAGGCCCACATGGTAGAAGGAAAGAACCATGCTCTGACCTCCAAACATGTGTTGTGGCACGTGTGCATGTCCCCCTACTCCCCAAAACATGTAATTTTAAAAATGTTGATGTACAACTTTGTCTGGCAGTGTTCTTGGTAATCTTTTCTGTATTAGGAATGGAAACCAGGGCTTTGTGCATGTTAGCAAGCATTCTGCCCCTGAGCTGTCTCCCCAGCCTTCTATTTTGAGACTGGGTTTCACTAAGTTGCCCAAATTGGCCTTGAATTTTCAATCCTCCTGCTTCAGCACCCAAGTAGCTGAGATGGCAAGCCTATGCCACTGGGTCTACTCAAGTGTTCTCACAAAAGATTCTATAAAAGAAAAAATAAAGGAGACCATGCACTTTACTTACGTGTTAAGATTATTTATAAATAGAAATCAAAGACAGGCAGTGAACTATGCATAGGGAAATTTGATTACCTGGATAATTTTTCACCAAGTGCTCCAAAAGTGATTCTTGTGTTGCTGCCATCTGAGCTGCATTCATATCAGATACAGCACAACACAGAACTTCAGCCAAAGGCACAAACCAAGACTGAGCAATGGGATTCATCTGCACTGGGAAGACATCTCCTAAAGTGGAAGTCAAAAACGAGAGTAGATGATAATTCTGCTATAGTGGAGCTGGAGAGATGGCTCAGTGGTTAAGAGCACTGGTTACTCTTGCAGAAGACCCAGGTTCAGTTCCCAGCACCCACATGGCAGCTAACAACCATCTGTAACTCCAGTTTGAGGTTATCTGATGCCCTCTTCTGCTCTCCTCAACCACTGCATGCACATGGTGCACATGCAAACATAGACAAAAAAAATGCACAAACTAAATATAATGATTTTTTTTTTTAAAAAAAAGATTATACAGCTGGAGAGGTACCCCAGGAGTTAAGAGCACTGGCTGCTCTTGCAGAGGACCCGGGTTTGATTCCCAGAACCCACATGGTGGCTAACAACCACCCATAATTCCAGTTCCAGGGGAATCTGAAGCTCTCTCTGGCCTCCGTGGGCACTGCATGACATGGGTGCACTTATATACATGCAGGCAATACACACAAAATAAAAATATTTTTTGAAATCCACTATGGTGTAAAATGTTCGGAATGAGTAAACTGAGGATAGTTAGACAGACTAGAAGATGGAATTGTTCTTCTTTCATAGGTCTTTCCTGAGACTCTGTTAACATGACATGTACAATGGTAGAAACTGTGGAAGGTAAAGATTTACATACAGTCTCTCTTTTAGGAAGTTTGTAGTGTCTATCACTACAAGTAATAGAAAATTTCTATGGAAAAGGCAGTGTGATGCCAGATTTTAGAAGGTCAGACATGTTTACCAAGTACTTCACGTATTTAAAAAAAAGCATACTTCCCTATCAGCCAAGAAGTCAGAACTAGGAAGGGCCACATGCCTGGCATCAAGCAGCCCTGCTCAAGGCATGTGCTGATCTCTTCAGGTACATTATCATTTGCAACACATGTGCTGGTAAATCATGCTTATAACTGTAGCTGGGGCCTGGGCCTATTGCTCTGATACAGCACTTCCCTAGCATGCTCGAGACCCTAGGTCCAATCCCCAGTACCCCACAAAGAAAAAAGTTGGAGTAAACTAGGCATGGTGACATACACCTTTAATCTCAGCACTTGGGAGGCAGAGGCAGGCAGATTTCTGTGAGATTAAGGCCAGCCTGGTCTACATAGTGAGTTCCAGAGCAGCTGGGGCTACACTGTCTCACAAATAAATAACTAGTTAACAGACAAGTGGTATCAGCTGATGCATGACCTACTAGTATATACCTAGTTGGATTTATATAAAGATGATGTTGAACAGATGAACGTTGGGGCTGGGAATATAGCTCAGTTTGCATAGTGCTTGCCCAGCGTACACTAGACTCTGGGCTCAATAACTACATAAACAGAACATGATGGCACATGCTTGTAATCCCAGCATTTGAGAGATGGAGGTTGGGGAAGCAGAAGATCAAGGTCACTCTTGGTTACCTAGTTTAAGGCCAGCCTGGGCTACATGAGTCCCAAAAATAAAATAAAATAAAATGGTAGATAACTCAGTGGTAAGACACTTGCATAGCTTGTTCTAGGCCCTAGATTTATCCCCAGGTATCACACACAAAAGTTAAGTCCAGGCATGGTGGTGCACACCTTTAATCCCAACACATGGGAGGCAGAGGCAGGCAGATCTCTGTGAAGTTCCAGGCCAGCCAGGGCTACAGTCAGACCCTGTCTCAAAAAAAAAAAAAAAAAATTAGTGAATCTACTACCACCTACAATTCCACCACTTGTGAGGTAGAGGCAGGAGGATCAAAAGTTCAAAGTCATCCTCAGTTACACAGTTTGAGACCAGTATGGGCTATGTGAGACCTTGTATAAAACATGAAAACAAGGGCTGGAGAGATGGTTCAGTGGTTAAGAACACTGGTAGTTCTTGCAGAAGACCTGGGTTCGAATCCCAGCACCCACATGGCAGCTAACAACTGTCCGTGACTCCAGTTCCAGGGGATCTGACAGCCTCTTCTGTCCTCCAAGGGCACTGCACAACACAGGTACACTTGCTTACATGCAGGCAATACTCACATATACATAAAATAAAAATAATATTAAAAAACCCAAAAAAAACCCTGTGAAAACAAAACCAACAAAACCCTCCAAAACATAAAATCTGAACCACCAGCTAGAAAGTAATTCCCTTTTTTTTGGCAGGGGGTTCTTTTTGAGACAGGGTCTCCCTGTAGCCCCAGCTATCCTGGAACTCACTATGTAGACCAGTCTGGCCTTGAACTCAGAGATCCACCTGCCTCCGCCTCCCGAGTGCTGGGATTAAAGGCGTGTGCCACCAATTCCCTTTTTTACTTCTCAAAATTAATGCAACTATATATAAAATACTACAGAGAATATTTTAATTTGCCTCTTCCTCCTCTCTGGAGCTCCTCCTACCTTGTCTCTTCAACCTTTTGACATTGCAACACAAACTTGTCACTTCCAAAGTTATGCTCAAGAACTGCACCACTGAGTTAAAAAAAAAAAATTCCCATTTGAAGAAGTTTACGAATTTGTGTTGGGCCACATTCTTAGCTCCCCTGGGTTACAGATGGCTTGAGAGAAAAATCTCAGAAAAAGTTTCCCAGTACATTCCCTTCACAGTCCTCGCTAAGATACACGCTGCAGGGTACATACATCATGTTTTCTGTGTGCAGGAAAGCAGTGAGCCTTAACACATGTCTGTGACAGACATGGGGATGACTTCCCAGCTACGGGAATGGTCTCTTCAGTTACTTCTGCACTCCTTTGGTTTTCGGAAAGCAAAGTTAACTTTCTACATAGAAGATTCCAATTGTAGATGTAACCTAATGTCTGTCACAACACCAGAAAGCCAATTTCTTGGCTTTATCCTCCACTCCTGAGGATTAAAGAGCACCCTGAAGCCCAGGCCTGCTCTAAACCTTTAACCTCAGAACTAAATGGATCAGAGGCTCAAGAGAGATGATGTAAATAGTAACCACAATGTTCCTCCTGTTTAAAGTGTTATATTCTTGGGTGCTTCAGAAACGGAAAAAAGTGGTTAGTTAGGTGGACTAGCATTGAGATAGAAGAATACAGATGAAGCCATTTTGTCCCTTAGATTTAATTCAACATATATAGAGACCGACAGATACAGATGTAGACAGATATTGCAAAGGATTTTCAATTTTTTTAATTCCTTGCTATACTCCAAAAAGATCTGGTTAGTTTGTTTTGGTTGTTGTTGTTTTTAGTTTTCAAGTTATGACGAAAGCAAAGAATAAGTTTTAAACTAGTCACACCTTTGGGGCTAGACTGATGGTTCACTGGTTTAGAGCACTGGCCGATCTTGCAGAGGACCCAGGTTCGGAGCCTAGCAACCACTACACGGCGGCTAACAACTGTCTGGAAAAGTGTTGACTTGCTCTTGGAGTGGGTGGTAAAAGCTTAATGACAATTAATTGCAAGATGAGACCTCAGCAAAGAGGAAAAATGGGAGTTCTTTATGTGAGGACACAAAGCCTTGCCCCCCTTCCATAAACCTCAAATGGAAGCCCTCAAGAAAAATATCCTAGGCCAGGCATGGTGGTGCTTGCCTTTAATCCCAGCACTCAGAAGGCAGAGTTAGGCGGATCTCTGTGAGTTTGAGGCCAGCCTGGTCTACATAGTGAGTTCCAGGACAGCTGGGGCTACAGGGAGACCCTGTCTCAAAAAGGCAAAAAAAAAAAGAAAGAAAGAAAAATATCCTACACAAGAATCAATACAATTCTCATCAAAATTCCAGTGACCTGTCCCAGTACTTGGGAGGGAGAGGCAGGCAGATCTCTGTGAGTTCAAGGCCAGCCTGGTCTACATAGTGAGTTCCAGGACAGCCAGGGCTACAGGTAGACCCTGTCTCAAAAAGACTGAAAAAAAAAATTCCAGTGACCTTCTTCACAAAAATATTTTTTTTAAAAAATCCTAAAATACAGGGCTGGAGAGATGACTCAGCGGTTAAGAGCACTGACTGCTCTTACAGAGG